ACCACTCCCCGTATTCATCTGATATGGCACCGTGTGACTTCATCCTTTTCGGAAAAATGAATTGGCCTATAAAGGAAAAGGTTATGCAGACGTAAAGGCTATTCAAAAGGCTTTCACCGTCATACGGGRGGCCATATCGACCAACGAGCTAAACACTCGTTTGACATGCTTTTAGGGCGCGCAAAAAGCTGTATTGAGGCAGAAGACTATTTTGAATAAAATAAATTGATTTTGCCGAAAAAACTTTTGGTCTGTTTTTTCAAGTCCTGTTTACTTCGGAATGCTCCTTGTACTACACATAATTATTTCTGTTACTCTAAAAAACTTTTTGTCAAATATGGCGATCAGTGTATGGGTATTAATTATAGCGCTTCGATCCTAGACCCTTTGCATTTTAARGTACAGTGAAACTTCGATAAGTCGTAACCTCGATAAGCGGAAAACCTTGATATTTCATAGTATTTCTTCGGTCCCTAGAAAAATTCGCGAAAAATRCATGTATTTCGGTGCCTTTGATAACTCGTATTTTTCTTGAGACAAAAATTGAAAAATGTGTATCAAAAGGCTCTACAACTCGTATTTTTTATAATATAATATATAATTGCACCGCCCACACTGCAATGGAACCTTTGGGCAATGAACAGACTRAWTTTCTCCCACCTAACACCACYTCAGTTTTGCAACCACTCGACAATGGCATAATCAAAAGTTTCAAAACATTGTACCGTAAAGAAGTTGCTGTTAAACTGCTTCAAAGCATCGAGGAAAAAAAGGATTATTCCATTTCGATTTATGATGCAATGAATATTGCTCATAAAGCCTGGACAAATATCAGTAAATCGACTATTAAAAACTGTTTTCGAGCTTGCGGTTTTGTTAAGGATCAAAATGTAGTCGTAATCAGCGAAGATGTACTTCACATAGCAGAGTGRGCTCGTGTTCCACAAAATGMAGAAACACGTGTAAACTTTGATGACTACATTCATGTTGATGATGAGTTGGTGATTACTGGAAGCCTCAATGATGATGAAATTCTGGGTTTCGAAAACATCGGCGATGAACACGATGAAACATTTGAAATTCCCTCAGTTTCCACAAAGGTTGCGAAAGCTTCAATTGAAAATTTGCGTTCTTTTTTTCTTCTTTCGATGCTTCCCCCTACTATAAAAAAAAAGATAAAATACTCCAAAATAATGTCCGCTTTTTGTACAATTTTTCAAAATACATACATACATTTATTGATTGAATAATATACATATGTACTTTATATTTTAAAATTTAAATATGTACAATCATTTCTTGTTTTTTATGTAAAATTGAAGAATTAAATTGAAAAACTCTATAATTCGTATATTCTGTATGTTGCCTCTATATGTTGTATAACTTGATAACTTGAAAAACTCCATAACTCGTATTTAAATTGTGGTCCCTTGCAAATACGAGTTATCGAAGTTTCACTGYATATCACTAGCTTTGCTCCTGGCATGTTGCGGTTCCTCCGAACATAGACCTTCCTTACTTGTTTTATTGTAATTTGGTTTTATTCAGCGTCATATACTATCGAAAACTTGTAACAAAAATATTCAATTACAAAATTCTGCGAAAAAGGCGTGCACACGCAAACCGCAATCGCGTGGCGATTCTGCAATCAATGCAAACACAGTCATACACATTATTAAATACGAATTCTTGCATATTTCCCAATATGAAAATTACAACAAGTAACTAGCAACCAAGCCTGGGATGTAGAGCAGGTTCGCCTCCTGGATAATGCTAAAGGATCTGCGTCCTCCACAGCCTTTTACACCCCTAAGGGTTCTTTTACCTTTGCTTGACCAGCACTTTRTTTAGGACTATTACTTGGTATGGTTTGAAAAAAGGGACTGGTTGCCGAGGTATTCTATCAAATGAGTACGCAGGAGTGACACCATGCAGGTATGGCGAATGGGTTAATACGAAGGCTGCCTCGGTCCCGTTAGAACTCTGAATAGTAACGGCAATAAAAAATAAAAAATTAAAAACAGATGAGGAAGAGGGTATGTCAAAACTGGCCTAAAAGGACATTCTTTCGGATATGGTACCATCACACGAGGCAGCGAAAACGTTCCCGAAAAGGGTGATGGCACCTAAGGGTGCTGAAGTTACACCGTCGGCTGGCAGCCAATATTTTGCAGCATTATGGTGGTAAGTAAACATTTACTTGGAACTTGAAGATTATTCTATTAAATATAGTAGTTTTTATACACTTTAATATCATATTAGAAATTTCAAACATATCTTCTAATATCAAAGACTACTAAATTAAATAAAAACACGTTACATACATACATGATCTACACAAAATTCTTCCATGTTCGCAATGTAGTAGTCGGTAACTTGTTGGCTTTTGACTTTTGCTTCTGCCCCCA